GTTCTTTAGATTTTTCAGAAGAGTTTATTTTTGGATGTTTACATGTTTTAGGTATGAATTTGATATCATGGGTCCTTCACATTGCTGGTGGTCTCCTCCATGTACACTTGTGTATATTTTCCCCATCTTTGCCTTGGTGAAGTGGTCCTTTGAGGTAGCGCTGGGCTGATGCAGCAGCGGAACCTGCCTCGGACACCATGCTGGAAGGAGGGACAGCTAAGGTGAGAGCCTCTCTTGCTTTGGCATAGCCTGGTTGTCTTCTGCACTGTGCAGAATTGAGGTGTCAAACTGTGAGCTCAGTCCTGCAGATTACACAGGGAGAGATCTATGAGGCCCTTTTGTCTGTGATCAGTTCATCCTGGAACACACCTGCTGGTGAAGCTGGTACACCCACATGGCTGCCTCTCACCCACAGAAAGCCTGGTACAAAAACACGCCAGTATTAAAAATATTCTCAGAGCCACCAATCAAATTTAAACCTGCCTTATAGGTTTGAATATGACTTATGATGCAGATAGCAAAGAGTGGGAAAATTAAACATTATAGGCTTTAGCAAGTACATGTACTATGCCTCCCAATGATCCTGTATAGAAGTGTTTATGTGTTGATCCTGCAAGAAATTAAATGGAAAATATATTAAATATAGAACTTTATGACTTTAGTACATTTGTGTTTACTGGATAATATTAACAGCTCGCTGAATGATTATACTTGTTGCCCTAAATTGCTTTATAATATAGTATTATGCTGGTGCCATATTGTATGCAGAATGATGCAATGGTGCCACCATCTGGTTACTTTGCCAGCCTATGATAGAAGCCACCCTCTTGTAACTTTACTACCCTGCCAGCCTGTGATCAAAGCCACCCTCTGGTTATTTTACCACCCTCCAGCCTGCACTCAAAGCTACCATCTGGTTATTTTACCACCCTCCAGCCTGCACTCAAAGCTACCATCTGGTTATTTTACCACCCTCCAGCCTGCAATCAAAGCTATCCTCGGGTTATTTTACCACCCTCCAGCCTGCAATCAAAGCTATCCTCGGGTTATTTTACCACCCTCCAAGTCTGTGATTAGAAGCCACCCTCTGGTTATTTTATCATCCTGCCATCCTGAAATCAAAGCTGCCCTTTGGTGACTTTACCACCCTGCCAGCCTGTGATCAAAGCCACCTTCTGGTTACTTTACCACCCTTCCATTAGAAGCCACCCTCTGGTTACGTTGCCACCCTTCCAACCTGTGATCAAAGCCACCCTCTGGTTACTTTACCATCCTCCCAGCCTGCCATTAGAAACCATCCTCTGGTTACATTACCACCCTGCCAGCCTGTGATCAAAGCCACCCTCCAGTTACTTTACCACCATGACATGATTTGATTGGCTATAACTGCATGGCACATTTATTCACCAGTACTTTTGCTATAGTCTAGTGTTTGGATGAAAGCTTTAGTGTACAATGACATGTTTGTTATTTAAATATACATTTTAAGGGTCTAAACATTAGAGCAGACCAAAAAGAGGAACAACTGAGTGGTAACTGTCTAAAAGTGATTATACACACAGTGATTTGTGATTGATCCAGGTAAACAAATGATTTATCATCAATAAAAATATTGAATGACTCACGCAATATTGTTCGGCACTTTGATATAGAGTGAAAACATGATCTATCAGTAATAAATCTAACAAAAACTATAGATTCGATCAATCTGTGTTACGATCAGTTGCATCACATGCAGATATTTGTTGATCATAAGCGATTGATAAAATCAATTGATAATTAATAAACGGGCCCTTTCTTGACCTTTGGCTATGTATCCTGGATTTCACTATTAATGACTTCAGCTCCATACACTTATTACTGCCTTACACTATGTTTTCCTGCGGGCCTGTAGCAATAGCCATGGCCGGAGTATATAGTCTAATCTAAGTCCTGGGGCATCAAAGTACCGGTAAGCACACTAGCCTTAAAGGGAAAGGTAGCTGCTAAAGTTTTTGCATCCGTGGCCTAACATCATCACTCGCAAGCTGGATGATCTCACTCACAAGGTTCAGGAGTTGACTCTCAAAGTTTGTCACCAACAGCCCACTACAGCTTCTGAGCAGGCTGTGTTGCCAGGGTCAGAACCCAAAGTCAACTGTCCAGGCCATTTTTGGGGCAATCGCAAGGACTTTTTAACCTTTGCCAAGATTTGCAGGCTATACTTTCAGCTTTGTCTCCGCTTTTTGGGCACGCTCAGAGGGTCCCATCACTTGCCTGCTCCAGGGTGATTCTCAGACTTGTGCTTTCAGTCTGGAATCAACAAAGCCTACCCTATAGTCTGTGGACGCCTTCTTTAAAGGAGAACTATGGGGTTAAAGAAGAACTATGAGGTGAGTGCTTTTCACTCACCTCATAGTTCTAGCCGACCTGTGACAATGAGACTGTCAAAGGCCGGCTCAGTAGATCGGGAGGTGAGCGAACACATACCGGCGTTAGCTCACCTCTCGATCCTGTCACGGCTCTCTGCCGTGACAGGGAAGGGGCTGGATTCCCCCCTCCCCGCTCCGATCCGCCAGCGCTGACTGGCGGAACGGACGGGGGAGGGGGCGGGTACAGCTGGCTCTGCCTCTAGATAGGCAGAGCCAGCTGTCAGTCACACAGCTGGGCGGATCCCGGCACAATTGTCGGGATCCGCTTCAGCTGCGGCCACTCAGTATACCGCGAGCAGCAGCTCGCGGTATACTGCGGCATCTCAGTATACCGCTAGCTACAGCTCGCGGTATACTGAGCCTAGGGTGACGGGAGGACGCTAGTTTGTGTCCTCCCGTTACCCTAAGGAGAACTATGGGGAAAAGCCTTAACCCCATAGTTCTCCTTTAAGGCTTTTCCCCATAGTTCTCCTTACTAGCGTCCTCCCGTCACCCTAAGCTCAGTATACCGCAAGCTACAGCTCGCAGTATACTGAGATGCCACAGTACACTGGGCAATAGATTCTGGGTGGACGGACCCAGTTTTATGCACCCAGCACAGGCTGAGGATCTCTGACACTATAAAAGATGCATCAGTCCATTACCCTACCTTGTCTACTTTAGATGAGGCAATGGTTCTTGCCATTTGTATTAGCGGCTGCCTACGGGAAAGAAGAGCAGATCCTGGGGCTTCCTATTCCATGCCATCCACATCAAACACCGGGTGATGTAGTTGGGGCCACATGCTTGTCCACCCAAAAAAAACTGTTGAAGCACCCCAGGTCGTGGTGTGGCCCTCGCCCGGTCAAACTGGGAAACTGGGGTCTAGAGGGAGAAAGGACTGTGCCTGTAGTCCGAGCTTCCAACAGTCCTATTAGGGACAAACTATACGTTCCTTTTAAGCTTCCCAGCATAATCTTTCAACCCATTTTAGACTCTGACACAGCCAGTAATTTCATGGACTTTATGCTAGCACAGTCCCTACAGATTACATTATTGCTGTAGAAGTGCCAGTGAAAATTCTCAGTTGACTTCCAAGGGGGTAGTCCATCATATGCCTCTACTCACCTTAACTGTAGGGGTTGGCCACCATGAGCACACTGCTTTCTTTGTCATTTCCTGCCTGGCCTTCTCTCTCATCTTGGGCTACCCATGGCTCCGACAACACAACTTACAAATCGATTGGGCGCAGGGTAATTGTTTCAGGTCCTGCCTGTGGCCCCCTACTGCCATAGTACCCTCACTTTGCCTGCTTCCAATGTGTGCAATGAAAAAGCTGCCACCATTTTACCTTTGCATAGGACCTACAACTGTCCAATTGACCTTTTGTCAGGTACATCTCCATCTAAAGGTTCAGTTTACCCTCTGTTGGAGCCTGAGACTGTAAGGAAAAGATGGCAGCCACGCATGTGCAAAAACCTACATTTCAAATGACCGGAAAACATGCTCTGGTGCGCATACGCACGCAACAGGAAGTGGGCAGGAAGACACGCACAGAACCAGGCCAGAACTATCACCATAGTGACCCAGGTGGCCGCCATGGGGCATGGGCACAGGGTCGCCTGGCCAGGACGAGGAACAAAGGGGTCCCCCTGATGCCGTGTGGGCGGCTATGGCATCTCAGGCTGCTGACTGTCACTAGCAGTTGTGAGGAGGAACGCGCCGCTGTCCAGACCACTGACAACCTGTCAGTGATTTGGGCAATGGCGCGTTCCTCCTCACAGCCGCTGCTGAATTAGTGACAGCCAGCAGCTTACGGTGGAGGCCGGGGCCTGGCAACGGTGAAGGAGGCGGGGCCCGACGGCGACCGAGGAGGCGGGGCCCTGCGGTGGAGAAGGCTGACAGTGGATCAGCGCTGACAGGTAAGAGATGTGTAGGGGTGTGACCAGCCCACCTGAGAGTGAGACCCCACAGAGCCCACCAGCTCTGCAGGGTCACTCTCAGGTGGGCTGTGTGGGATCTCAAGTGGGCTCTGCAAGGGGCATAACAAGGGCCCCATACAAAGTTTTGCTCTGGGGCCCCTTGATTTCTAGTTACGCCCCTAACTGGGGCCCCTTTATTGCACAGTAAATTTGAATAGAAAGGTGAACTGTCCTTTTAACCCTTCCTTACTCTATCCAAAATGAGAAAACATGTACTACACATTTCATTTAATATAGTTTTAACGCAGCAAGACTCTTTTTTTCTCTATTTTTTTTGCTGCCTGGTTTGGTTCCCCCTCAAAATAAAAATCAAGAGCCGGACACAGAGGCAGCAGCACGTCACAGTCACTAGCAGCAACGATGCGCTCTCGAGTCGCCACTACTACACTTTGTATTCCATTTCCAACCCCGCCCACTCCTGTAAAAATGCCCCGCCCGCTGCTAAGCCGTGCAGAGACGTCACGTTCCCTCTCCTCATTGGTTGAGTGGGGCGTACCACTCCTGCAGGGGTGCTGCTGCCCGCTTCGCTTTCTATTTACCCTTGCCTCATGCTTCTGCCGACCGAGGCGGCCCCCCGTTCCCGCGCCGAGTGGTGCCATCTGGGCCTCGCTGCTTTTTCGTTGTTCCCGGGAGCGGAAGGAACCGAGAGTCCGGTCATAGGTGAGGGAACCGGTGTACCGGGGTGAGGGGAAGGAGGTGCATTACAAATGAGGCCTTGTGTGTGTATAACGGGAGGGGAATGAATAGCAGGGCGTGAAATGCAATGTAATACAGACCCTTATTGCATATATGCAGACGACGTTGCGCAGCAGAATGATGTCAGAGCAGTCATGTAGTTATGTGGTGAGCTGCACAGAGCCGGGTTTGTCAGTGTGCATTTGTCTGCACTGGTCCCAGCACTGTGTTGTTGTTGGTTATGGTGTCCTGCATCAGGAAATACAAATTCATATGTTCTGGGCTCCATGTATTGGAGGGAAGCACCTGCGTTGCCCGTAGCAACCAATAAAATGGCGACGGCTGTGTGTCTAGATGCCCATTGCCATGGGTGACTGATCCGCTTCTGCAAATGAGGGTTAGAAGAGATCTGACCTCTTCCCTTTGGGTTCAGAAAGGGGCATGGAGGGCCATTATGGCGATTGCCCCCATTCTGTGGAGTAGTACCATCTGGGTAGCTGCACAAGGGCCCTATAGGATTGAGGGGCCCATTGTTATAAGTAGGGCAGATGGCTACAAGGACCCCCTTTTACAGTCGCATAGACTTTGGGTTGCGCTATTACCTGAAATGGGCCTGTTGTGTCCGTAGCAAGTAAGCAGATACCAGCGGCCGTATTTCTAGATTGGGTTGGGTTGCCCAGTGCCATTGGCAGGTGATCTACTGTTGCGGATAACAGTTCTGGAGAGATCTGCCCATTTCCCTTGTGCCCCAGGATACACCGTGACTTATCCCACAGACCTAGTTGGTGGTCAAGAAAACTTCCAGGCATGCAGACGTTCATGAAAATATGTATCTTAGTAGCCAAAATGGCTGTAAAGCTGAACTCCGGCCACAAAAACGTTTATTTAAATATATTCCTCAATAGCCACAAAGGATATAAATCTACTTTGTGTGCACTAGATACCTTTGCAGATCAGGTTTTTACCTTGTAAAGTAGCAGTGACATCATCACTGTGCTGCCTATAGTCTGTGCACAGAGGAGCTGTAGGAGGACCCCAGCAGGCCCCACCCACTACAGGCTGCCGGCAGAAAACTACAGGAGGGGGCGGAAACAAGACCAGTTACCCTGCACTGGGAGAGAGGGCAGCAGTGACCAATCTTTATTACTGGAGGGGGCGGAGACAAGACCAGTCACCCTTGTTATTTCCACAACACCCTGCACAAGGAGAGATAGCAGCAGTGACCGGTCTTTATTACTGGAGGGGTGTATAGACAGGACCAGTCACCCTGCACAAGCAGAGAGAGCAGCAGTGACTGGTCTTTATTACTGGAGGGGGTGGAGACAGGACCAGTCACTCTGCACATAGAGAGAGAGCAGCAGTGACCGCTCTTTATTACTGGAGGGGGCGGAGACAGGACCAGTTACCCTGCACATGGAGAGAGAGAGTAGCAGTGACCGCTCTTTATTACAGGAGGGGGCGGAGACAGGACCAGTCACCCTGCACATGGAGAGAGAACGCAGCAGTGACCGGTCTTTATTACAGGAGGGGGCGGAGACAAAACTCTTGTATTTAGACAATATTTGCTGATCCCGGGTTCATGTTTCAGATATGTCATGGAAGACCGTTAGAGTGCTGTCTCCCGTTCTGTGGAATAGGGGCCAATACACCAGCTGCACAAGTGCCCTATGGGACTGAGGGGTCCATTATTACTAGATGTAGGGGAGATGGATACAGGGACCCCTTTTACGGTCACATGGGTTATGCTCTTAGTTGCAGTGGGTCTGCGCTGTGCATAGCAAGTAAGCAGATATGGGCAGCCACATTTCTAAAGTGCGTTAGGGTACCCAATGCCGTAGATGTGGGATCTGCAGCTGTGGACAATGGTTGTGAGAGGTCTGCCCATTTTCCTTATGTCCCCAGGATTCACCACAGTTTATCTCACAGACATGGTTGGTATTCTGATGCAGCATGGGTGGCTGTTGTGCAGATTGCCCACATTCTGTGGAGCAGGGGTGGACATGATTATTATCATCCAAGTTTTATAATACAGGATTTATATAGCACCAACAGTTTGCTCAGCATTTTACAATATAAAGGGAGTGTGTCGATCGAGGAATCCCGCTGTTTACATTGTATTCTGAAAGGTGCCGCCAGCCCCTGTCAGAATACCCGAACAGAGCGGGCAGCTCATTGGCCGCCGCCTCTGATCAATCTAAAATTTTCCTGCCAGCTCCCTCCATCAGCTCATCGAGGAATGCCGGCTGAAAGGGAACCGACATCCCCATACACTGTGCGAAATTCGACCAGTTATGGGCATTTTAAGACGAGGGTTAGGAGGGTCCTGCTCATGAGAGCTTACAATCTAAATACCATTTGAGCAGCTGCAGAAGGGCCCTCTGGGACTGAAAGTGTATATTTACCTTAAAAAGAGAATAAATTACAATTCGCATTCTATATCTCTGCTGCAGTAAAAGCTTCTTACCTTCCTGTTGGCAAACTTCTTTGCATGTATGCTGAGTCGCACACTTCTGCACCCCTTGATGCTAGAATGAATAACTCCCATGCACAGGAGTTATGTAATCCGGGGCAGGCCAATCAATATGGCCAAAGATGCCAAACCCGTTAGAAGTTTGGAAGAAAATGTCAGCGCCAGTGAGGAAGCTAGTGCGCGTTGCGTCACTGGAGCAGAGATGAGTATAGCGGACTTTGGTTCATGTCACATGGGTGATATTGCTGCTGGCAACACATTGGCAGTAACAAAATTACTCGGCAGAGCCTTCCATCACCCTCACTGGCCCTGAACGCTACTGAATCTTCCTCACTAGCAATGTAGCCCAACTAGTAAGGCAACGACGTCATAGAAACAGGGAAGTGGTCACTTAACTCTACTGCTGGTCAGTTGTTCCAGTGACCGGATTGCACACCATGTGGTATGGCCCTTAGGCCTGGTTCACACCTGAGCGTTTTGTAGCGCGTTCGAACGCTCTGCAAAACGCTCAAACACCGAAATCCCATTATTTCCTATGGGTATGGTTCACACCTGGGCGTATTACAGGCAGTATGAACGCGCTACAAATCGCCATACACCCAAAGAAGTACAGGAGCTTCTTTGGGGCGTTTTTGTTGCGCGTTTCCATTGGGATACAGCCAAGTAGGTTTTTTTACCGCGATTAAACGCGCGTCACGAAACATGCGACAAACGCGCACATTCAATACGCCTAGGTGTGAACCCAGGGGTCCTTTTTTACCAAATTGTCTTTGCAGGACAGCAAGGTTCATGTGGAAAGACTCCTGGATATAGAGTTGCCAAAGAGTCTTTTCAGGACAGAACCTTGCTGTCCAGGGAACAGAGGTACTAGTAACTCAGTTTTTTTGACAGTGGGACCCCACACAGTTATTTATTGTGTAAAGAGTCTTATTACAGTGATATCAGGTATCAGGAGAGTTAAGATGTTGTCCTGATGGGATTAAAGCGGAAGTCAACTGCTGCAGGCTGGGTGGGCATTTGCACATTATGGCCCACTTACCTTAGAAGTGTGTCCTTCTCTTGCCATGTGTGATGTATCCTCTGCCCACCCCGCTGCCGTCATCTCCACTGTCACCACTTTTGGGTTCCCAGGCATCCTCTTCAGTCATTGGGTGGTTATGGATGTAACTCCTGGGCACAGGAGATCCATCTTCCTTGGTACATCTTAGAGTTGCCGTGTATGAGCCAAGAGTGTACACTGCATGGCACATACAGGTGAAACTCGAATAATTAGAATATTGTGCAAAGTTCATTTATTTCACTAATGCAACTTATGCGGTGAAACTAATATATGAGATAGACTCATTACATGCAAAGCAAGATAATTAAAGCCGTGATTTGTCATAATTGTGATGATTATGGCTTACAGCTCATGAAAACCCCAAGAACCACAAATCCACAACCTCAAAAAAGTAGATTATTACATGCAATCAATAAAACAAGGATTGTACATAGAACAATATCGGACCTCTGAAAAGTAGCATGCATATGTACTCGGTACTTGGTTTGGGCCCCTTTTGCAGCACTTACTGCAATTATTTTTGCACGATATTCTAATTATTCGAGTTTCACCTGTATGTGCTCAGAAAATATTGCTAGGCATTTTTGGCTTGGCATTGCATGTCTCTTCCAACAATTCTTACCTCTGAGGCTAGGTTCACACCTGCACGACACCCAGGAAGCGCGATCGTATGCTAGTGCACACAGCATTTGCCGCACGGCTTTCAATCGCTCAAAAAAGGTACAAGTACCTTTTTTGCGTCACACGACGTGCAGCTTTTTTTTTGTTAAGCTGTATCGTGTTCACTTTCAGGGCCGGAATCACGGCGGGACGCCCGGCCTGACTGGGGTGCCATTACAAAATAATGGCACCCACAGCACGATCGGTTCACACCTTGGCGACTCCCGACACAAAACCGTGCAGATTGCCGCGCGGTCAGGAGTCGCCAAGGTGTGAACCTAGCCTGAGCAATTTTTTACTTTTTCTAACTTGACTTCTTCTGTAAGGCTGAACCTCCAACTGACCCCTTGGAGCCGTGATGGTTTTCATCTCGGCCTACTAAGAAACCATAGAGCCTCAGACATCCTAATGACAGTTGAAACATCCTTTGGGCTTTCTTTCCATGCTAGTAGCTTGGTTTCCATAACAACTGTAATTGTTACCTAATTAAACCAACAGTGAGCACGTTAAGGGGTTATAAATTCTATTGTGAAAGGTGTATTGTCTGCTATAAAGATTAATATGCCTGTTATATTTCCGCTCTCCTTTTTCTGTAAATAATGGCGGTTATGTCAGATAATAACCGTTATTGATAATAAGTATATCTTCAGTTTCCAGGTGCATCAAAGGTATATAAAATCTACCCCTCATAGGGGTTTTGGTGTACTGCTTGACCCAAAACTATATAGATGAGCCGACACATTTTTATCCAGAGCTCTGGGACATTTTCTCTAGCTCCTGTTGCTATCCTGGAGTATCAGTGCTTGGTGCTTTCAGAAAAATTGTGCTGATGCGTCTCTCTCTTTAGTCGATGGAAGTGTCACAGTGTTTGGCCTATGAGATGTCAGCCAGAGAGGATATTTGCATCTGCTAGAGTACAACTACTTCCAGCATTTGGCACAGTGGTTCTAATTTCGGAAATGCCGATCTGTATGGGCCCTTAGGCAATGTTCACAACCATGTCTGGACCAGTGCAGTGCCATTCATTTTTTGGTGCATTAAAATCAATGGCACTGCAACGCACCTCCCGCAGCAGAATTTGTCAGGCCAAAACGGAAAATTACTTTTCCCACCTTTTTTTTTTAAATCATTTTTTTTTTTTTGTACATACAGTAAACTCTTAGTTATCCGTTATTCACCTAACCAGAACTATCCTCTAAGCAGAAAAAAAAAATCCCATGTGTGCTCACTTTTCTGCTGATCCGCTGCATGTATTATCCTGGAAATGATCGTGTGTCTATTTGTCTTATTTTGCTTTTGATTACTGCATTTCAATATTAATATAAAGTCAATACAGAGTTTGTTTTGGTATAGTATGGGGTATGGCATTAGTTAGACCTATTTTTAATAGTAGCTCTCAAGCAACCAGAAACTACATTTATCCAGAATCTACCAATCCAGTGGATGCCAGATAACGGGGAGTTTACTGTAATTGTAATTTACTCCAGCATGGAGGAGAGAGCTAGGGGTTCCAACCAACTAGTCGCTTAATGAGAATAGTTGACAACTATTCTCATTATCGATTAATGGATTAGTTGGTTGCAGCCTTAATAGCACAGGCAGAAGGTAACGCACAGTAAGTTATAGGCTTACAAGTTTTCTGTCAGGACTAAAAGGTGTTTTTGTGCTTATTGAACAGATATAACAAACACTTTCAATGGTATAGTTAACAGACCAAAAGGGAGCAAATAAGATAAGTTAATTGTTAGGGTTTACATACTCTATAAGTGCTTGTTCACACCATGTCTGGACCAGAACTATTTTTGTCCGCACCTAAAATGCATCCCAATGTATTCTTATGGTATTTCTGGGATCTGTTCACACCAGTGCAGTCCATTCTGGGGGACGGCGACATTACTGCATGCACTATTTTTTTTCCTGGTCTGCAATGCACCAAAATGCATATAAATGCACCAAAAACACATGGAATGCACCTGATAGCACCTTCAGGCAAAAGAACACACACACTGGAACACACCAGAAAGCATCAGAAACGCATCCAGATCTGGTCCGCACATGGCGTGAACAACCCCTAAAGGGGGGCTGCAGGCGCACCTACAGGACTCTTCAAACGTTTGGGCTTTAATTGGCTGCTCTCTCCAGTACAGTTTATATTTCAGGTATTTTATCACCAGTTAGAAGCATCAAAGGGGTTGTTACCATCTGTGTAGACTGCATGAAGGAGGAGGTTGTGCCTTGGTGGGTTTTTTCTTCTAATTTTCTAAAAATGTATATCGGTAAAACATTGAAGTGATTGGTTCTACATAAAAGTTATGTCACCAGACCTGTTAATAAAGTTTGAATGAAAAACGCTTTTGTATGAAGTTTAGTGCTCACAATAATTGCAAAAAGAAAGGGCCTCATGCTAGAATTCTTGGAAAATAATAGTGTTGTTTACTAAAACCTGGAGTAAAATAAATGTCACAACCGAAGGTGTTCCTTTATTTATAGTGAGAGTCTGGTAGGCCAAGTCTTCTATTAATCTCCTTATCTATTGGGAATGCAAAATGAGGAATCTCCATTATTTAAAATTACAAATTCAGGAGAAAGAATTGGTTATGCTCAGTATGGTGATGGCAGGTGTGCAAACATTGAAACTGAAGCACCACCAGAGTCCTTAAATTCTAAATAGGGATGCACCCAATAGTGGTTTTTCAGTATTAAGTACGAGTACCAATATTTTTTTTTTTCCAGTACTTGCCATTACCGAATACCGGTATAGTGTGCCCCGATTATCAGGAAGTCGGGCGGCGGATCATGACCTGTCGCCTGGCTTCCTGATTGCCTGGGAAGCTGGTGTTCTATCGAAAGAACACTGGCTTCCTGTCCAATCAGGAAACCCGGGAGGCGGGTCATTACGTGCCGCCTGGCTTCTTGATTGGTTCGGAAGCCAGGCTGCCTAGCAACAAGTGAAGCTGGCTTTCTAGCCAATCGGGAAGCCGGCAGGTGGGTCATGACACAGCTTTCTAATTGGCTGGGAAGCCGCTTGACTTGTTGCTAGGCAGTGTGGCTTCCTAGCCAATTAGGAAGCCAGGCAGCACGTCTTGACCCACTTCCTGATTGGCTAGGAGGCGGGTCATTACGTGCCACCCGGCTTCCTGATTGGTTAGGTAGCCAGGCTGCCTAGCAACAAGTGAAGCCGGCTTCCTAGCCAATCAGTGAGGCGTGTCATCACCCACCACCCGGCTTCCTGATTGGAAAGGAAGTCGGCTCCATGCTCCCTCAGCACTGCCGGTCAGATGGAGATCTCCCTCTGACCGGAAGTTCCAGTATTGGAGGTAGGTATCGGAGCATTTGGGCAAGTACGAGTACTCGCCCCAAATACTCGGTATTGGCATTGATACTAGTATCGGTGCATCCCTAATTTATAAGAATGTTTAGTTTCTAGCACTTACCAAAAACTGAAACATCAGTTCTGCATCAGTTCCCCCCGCCCCCACACGTATAGGTTTATTGTGATTTGCGATCTGTTTTGCCCATTCAGGGGAAAGAAACAGGGAATCCATCCCTTCCCCCAACTATACTCGCCTTTATTTTTCTCTCTCACCACTTTGTTTAGCTGCTTTGAGCGAAGTACATACCAGGTACTTCTTTCATGGAGGAGCCTATGGCAACTTATGTGACTCACTTCCTTCCCTCCCATGTGACAGTGTTGGCAATTGGCTGTGTAGGCATCCAGTGTTGTCACATGGGCTGTGACTTGGAGCTTACACAGGGCTTATGCTTCTCTTTGCTCCCATGGGTGAACAGAGCTGATAGGGAGCATAAAGTAAGGGAAGTAAAAGGCCTCACTGGTCTAGGGACAAACCGCTATCTGGATTCACATCTGTGCCCCATTAAGGAGACTTCCCTTCACCTTATGTGCTGACACTGTCCTTCCTTCTGGAGGGTTGCTACTTTTGTTCCCCATGGTCCCTGTGTGTGTTGTAAAGTAGTCACCACTCCAAGCTCACTCCCGTGATGGACTACAATTTCATGTTTAGTTTACCAATTTGTATTGAGATTGTAGTCCATCATGGGAGTGAGCTTGGAGCGGTGGCTACTTTACAACACACGGGGGCCATGGGGAGCCACCCTCCAGAAGGAAGGACAGTGTCGGCACCAATTCAGAGATGACTTGAGGATCTACAGCCAAGCGATACACAAATAAGATACATTTTTGTCAATGGGTAAAGTACTTGAATGCATTTTTAAGATTTAACTCCTGAGTTTAGTGTCACTTTAAGCCTGCTAACAAATATGCATCTTTATGTTCATGTCCTTTTTTTTTTTTTTTTTTTCCCCCTCCCTCAATAGGGTAGGTCCGGGAACTCCTGCTGCGAATTGGTTTAAAGATGCCTGCAGTTGCCTTCCCATTGAAGAGAGCAAGCTGTTTAGAAACGTAGGAGGAAGAACTTGGATCCAAATCGGTAACAGAATCATGAACACGTTTCTGCAGTTAATACTGTTTATGGATGTATTGTTTTCATTGCATGATCCATATTTTTTTTATTTTTTTTTAACCCTAACTAAAGACAGACAACTGCAGGACACCGAGTTATGGACCTGTTAAAGCTACTAGACCCAAGAGAGAGTCGTGTCCGAGCTCTGTCCCGACCGGACCTAGAATCGGATAGGGACGAAGACTCTGGGATTGAAGATGAGCCCAGAGCAGAACGCAGAGACTCTATTATCTTTGTTGCCTTTAAAGGGGATATTAATGACCAAGACTTGCACAAGAAACTAGAAAAGATAATGCATGGAGTGCCTGAGCTGATTAACATGGGTAAGACTCCACATGTTGCAAGTAGACCATTTTCTTCAAGGGTCCATACATATTAACCTGTCCATTGAAATGTTGCACTAGTGCACGGTGACGGCTTCGGTGGTGTGAATTATATTGCACACTGCTGGAACTGTCACCGTTTACGTTTTTTTTTTCTCTCCAATGTGTACACTCCATTCAGATCGCCGCACAGCAGTGCGGTCTGATGCGCTGCATTGCAGTGACTTGTGGTGGGATCCAGTGAGCTGTGATAAATTGCAGCATGTTTTCATTTTATTGCAGCATAGTGTCCCGTCTATCACATCTGCCTTGGGTTGTGAATGGGACACATAGGATCAATTGCTTTCTGTGTGTCATAGCGGTGACCTGCACTGATCTGGTGCAGGTCACCACACTGTGTGTGAACGGGCCCTAAAAGTTCAATTCACCCAAAGTGATATTTTGGTTAGGTGTTGCCTGGTAGCTGTTTTAAACCCTGGCTTCTTATTTGACTAGGATACTCCCAACAGCAATATCTGCCTGTCA